TCTCACACACGTGCCTTCCCCATAGTCAAGCTCCCATTGCTAGAGTTATCTCTGCACGACGCACTGCGGCGATGGATTTGAGCAGTCTTATGAAAGCTGGTAGCCTGATTCCTCTTCTTATTCTGCTGCTGCTACTGCTCCTGGCTATACATTGTTTGAGAGCTAATGAGAGGAGAGTTGAGCTGCTTATGCGATGCCTTTGGTGGCAGTTGCTGCCATAGCAACAGATGCTGCAGCTGCTACTGCTGCTACTGCTGCTACTGCTACTGCTTCTGCTGTTGTTACTTCTCACAATGTAAATTAAGGGAGTGTCGGGGTGAGCGTGTTGGGGGAAAACGATTGCTGCTCCTCCATACCAAAAGTGATGCTTCTCCTTTTTAGTTCCTTGAGCTGCACTATCACTTTTAGTGTCTCAGGTTCATCTTCTAGTGGGCGAGGCTCGGCAGGTATCGACGGCAAGGAAGGCTCCTGCCCTGCAGCATCAGTACCACCTAAACTATCAGCAGGATACTTGCAGCCAGAGTTAGCTGAGGGGTGGAAGTCAGGCGCATTGGGGGAACCACCAATGCTGATAACAACAGCAGCAGGGAAAATCATCAGCATTGGAAGCACGGAAAAAGACGTAAGAAATGGCGGAGGGGCATGCAAACCCTCCGCTGTGAGAAAAAGACTCGAGGAGGAATAATAAGGTTTATCGAAACAAGAGGCAATGGTGAGAGAAGCGTCTGCATTTCCAGCATCACCAGCATAGCCGGTACTGGAAGCACCGCTGGCACTGGCAGCATGGAAGAAGGACCCAGAAGCAGTGGAAGAGCGCTTGGAAGGGAAAGCAGGTGAGGCTTGTATCAATCTTCAATGGTGCCGATATGACGAGGCAGCCACCGAGTTTTGAGGCGCCTCAAAAGTCGAGATTTGTACCGACCCCTTGCTAGGACGGCAGCGGTGCCGTGACGGCAAGGCAGATACCTGAGACCCAGGAGCAGAAGCAGAGGCAGAAGCAGAGCTGGTCGAGCACTGATGGGCTGCTGCGTTTTCGGATAGAGTTGCCATTGGAGGAGAAGTCTGGGAGGAAGGAAACCGCGGAGTAGGCTTGTTGCCTCTGGATGTTCTTGGGATCCAGGTAGCCCTCATGGCTCCACCCCTTGCCTTGCACACAGACAGATAGGAGAGAGGCTCACCTTGTGGAATCCATCCATCAGATCATCTATTGTCCATTGCATGCATGGACACTTTTGAGAGTTCTCAAAAGTGACACCAACAGATGCCCACATTGCTTAGCCTATCCACCTGTTTTCTTACCTTAACTAATTTATCCATCAGATTGACCATTGAGCACCATAGCTTACCCTGCTGAAATCTCAAATGTGACACCAACATACACTCACCCTGCTAAATATATCCACCTTTCTGCTCACGTTGTTCTATCAAAACATCCATTGCCTGCTGCATGGAGGACACACCCTCTTGCGATGACTCCATCATTCGCTGTACAGATGCCAAGCCAGGAAGCACGCTGGTTATGCTTCCCACACATGGCATACCAGTCGTTACTAGTGCCACAGCTAACACATCAGGAGGAGGGGGATTACAATAGGTGGTATTGGTTGCAATAGGCAGTAAACTGCGAGCTACGTTGAGATATGCACCCTTGGAGGAAAGGATACTGGTTGATCCCAGGTTTAGAGGGGGTAAACAAGAAACCTGGAGGAGGGGAACAAACTTTTAGCATGAGGGGTGGTGGTGGCAGCCATAGCTGCAGCAGAAGCAGCAGAAGTGGCAGTGGCAGCAGCAGTGGCAGCAGCAGCAGCCGCTGTGGTGATAGTAATGGTTGATCTAGCTGTTTCTGCTTCTGTGTTTGCTTCTCCTCTTGCTGCTTCGGTTTCTACTGCTACTTAGTGCCAGAGTTCGATGTGTTTGGTGTGAGTGTGGTACACGGGATCCTGGGAGAGGTGAATGGTACTCTGGTTGTCACACCAGAGGGTGGGAGTGGGCTGAGGGTAGCCAAGCTCCTGGAGTAGGAAGGTGAGCCAGCGAGGCTCCTGAGGGAGAGGAGAGGAGAGGGAGACTGCAGACGACCGGGTGGAGCGCCAGCTGACAATCCCGCTCCCAAGGGTGAAGCAGTAGCCTTGGGAGGAGCGTCGGTCGGTCTGGTCATCTGCCCAGGAGGAGTCTGTGCAACCTTTCAGTCGAGGAGGGGAAAGTTCACCAAGGGTCCTGCAGATAGCGCACCACCCGCTTTGTCGCTTTCCAGTGAAGGTCTGTGAAGCATCAAGGAGCCACATAGTAAGAGAGGACACCGACAGGGTATGTCAGGTCAGGCCGGGTGCACATCATGGCGTACATGAGGGACCCAACAAGCTCTGGGTATGGCTCAGTGCATGCCTCTGGTGTGGGTACAGCTGGAGCGGTGAGGAGGTGTTGCAACGGCAGTGGGGTGGCCATAGGTGTGCAGAGCTCCATCTCAAACCGTTTGAGCACATTCTTGATGTATAACTCCTGGGAAAGGGAGATGGTGCGAACCTGGCAATCACGAGTAATCTCCATCCCCAGGTAGTGTTTGAGGTCACCGAGGTCTTTCATCAAGAGGGCCTTACTTGAGGCCATAGACGGGGTGTTTCAGCTTCCAAACAGTGTTGGGAGGGAACTCTTCTAGAAAGTCTTCAGGTTGATCCATGAACAAAGTCTCCTTGAGGTGTCCTTGTAGAAAAGCCGAGGAGGTGTCAATGGATTTGATCTCAAAGTCTTCTCGTGCTGCTACATCCAAGAGCAAACAGTGGGTGGTTTGGATGTGGGGAGAAGGTCCTGAAGAAGTCCAGGTACTGCTGCTGGGTGAATCCCTTGGCCACGTAACGCGCTTTGGACACCGGGGCCTCGTCCGTAAGCTGTTTCACTCGAAACTACCACTTGCCCCCAACGATGTTGAATCCTGAAGGTGGAGTCTTGTCGTCGAAGGAGTAGTTGCGAGTGAAGGCTTCACACTCAGCTTCCATGGCAGCGCGCCACTTGGCAGCATGGGGACCCAAAAGAGCGCCTTTGACGATGAGAGGGATAGGGATGGCCGGGATCTTCGAAAAGTTCAGTGAGGGTGGTGATGTGATGTCGGGGAAGATGTGCGAGAGCTTGGGAATGACTAAGTGAAGATCACGCAGCTCCTCATGCTATCTTCCAGATGGGTAGAGGGCACATCCCCCCCGGCAGGAGGAGTCGGTGTGATCGTAGAGCATCGAATAGCCAGTGCTAGTGGAGGAGCAGGCCCATGCGAACGAGTGCCATGAGCCACCGGAGAAGAGGGTGGAGCAGGCGGTGTTGGAGGGGGTTGATTTAGCAGGCTTAGGCGGAGGGATCTGCCATCGCTGGTACGTGATCAGGTCGCTCGGCTGTTGTGGGGCGGGTTCCTGAGTGGAAGAGGGAACGGAGGGGAAGAGGTGGGGCAGGAGGGCTCGACCGCCAATGGTATGTGATTGGTGCGCCAGGAGGTGGCAGCGCAGTTGGTAGAGTGGGAGACGGGGGAGGGAGGAGCAGCTGCCGAAGACACCGGTGAGGTCGGGTTAGAGACCTCAGATGGGGATGGTGCGATGGCAGGAGAGGTTGGGGATGAGGGGGGTGATGCGAGCGGAAGTTTCGGAGGAGCATCAAAGCCAGCCCACACAAGCAAGGGTGGTTTGGAGGGAGGATCCCGTCCCGAGCTGGAGTAGAAAGGGGCAGGTCTCATCAAAGACAACCTTGCGGCTCCGGACTGACTGTTGAGTGGAGGGGTTGAGGAAGAGGTAGTCAGGGGAGTTGGCGTTGTGCCCAAAGTAGATACATTTTTGAGTCTTAGGGCCAAGTTTGCCGCCTTGCTGTCGCCAAGCCTTAGGGTTGAGGAGGACATAGGCGGTGCACCCCTAGACACGAAGGGGGCGAGAAGTGGGTGTTTTCCCGAGCCAGAGTGTTGTGGGAGTGGTGTCGGGAAGAAGTGAGTGGGGGTAAAGGTTGTAGAGGAGGGCGGCATGGTAGAGGGCGTACCCCCAGAGTGAGAGTGGTGCGTTGGAGTGATTGAGGAGGCAGCGAGCAATCTATACTAGTGTGTGATTGCGGCTTTCTACTGTACCGTTCTGCTGCGGGCTGTCTGGAAGGGTGAAGTTTGCAGGATGCCTTCTGAGGAGCAGAAGGCTTTGAGCATGTCGTTGCAAAATTCACCACCACCATCTGAATGGAGGCGCTTGACCTTGCGTTCAAGGCTGGTCTCTGCCTGTTTAACCCAAATGCCATGATGGCCTCTGGAGCCTCAACTTTAGTATGGAGGAGGTGCACAGAGACGTAGCGGGAGAGGTCATCAACTATTGTAAGGAAATAGCGATGGCCGACTCATGCGGGAACAGGGCAGGGCCCCAGACGTCCATGTGCACTAGGTCCAGTGGGGCTGCTGCGACTGTGGTGAGGAGGAGTGCGGCCATTGACGCAGCTTGCCCTTGGTGCAGTCAAGGCACGAGGGAGCAGGGGAGTCAGGTGGTGGGGGAAGTGAGGCTGGTAGGCCGAGGAGTACTAGTTTCTTGGAGGCCATGTCAGCAAGTGTGCGGAAGTTTGGGTGCCCGAGTCAATGATGGTACAGGATGGTCGGATTAGCGAAACCGCGACACGAGCATATTGTGATGTTCGCCTGTGCTTGGGTGGTTGACACCTGTGGAATAGGTACACGCAATGTGTAGAGATTGTTGTTGTTGAGGGTGAAGCGAGCTAAGACCTTGTTGGAGACAAGGTCAATAATGTCACAATAGTCCCTGAATTCTGAAATTATGGTGTAGAGCCCGGCCTTCTGAAGTTCTTGCTGAGCCAATAGATTGTGGCGCTGTGGGGGCACGCACATCCCAGTAACAGTGCCAGATGGGAAGGCAGGGCATGGGACAGTAAATGAACCCTTGGCAAAGGTGGTGAAGCTAGAATCGGCTCCCAAGAGAGAAATGGGTGTAAAGTAGGGTTTGAAGGAGAGTGTGTTTTTTAGCACTGTGTGAGTGGCCCCACTATCGAGTATGAATTTTATGTATTGTGGTGCTTGTGATGATCCGATATTGTTGTTTTGTCTCTCTGTTTGTTTGTTTGTTGTTGTTGTTGTTGTTGCTGCTGTTGTTGTTGTTGTTGTTGTTGTTGTTGTTGTTGTTGTTGTTGTTGTTGTTGTTGTTGTTGTTGTTGTTGTTGTTGTTGTTGTGTGTGTGTGTATGTGTGTGTGTGTGTGTTTTTTTTTTTTTTTTTTTTTTTTTTTTTTGGAAGTGAAAGCGTACACAAGAAAATTTACAGGCAAAACACTCTAGTCGTAACTGATGCACTAGGCTCGAGCTGGCGAAACCCCGCCTAGCCCTCCCAGCAGCTTTTACGGTGGCTTCACGAAGGTCCTCGGGTTTGACCAGATAGACTGAAAGCTTTCTTGCCACTTCATTCCCACCGCCTCGTTGACGCATATCCGGCACATGAGACGTGCCTCATCCTCCACCAAGTTCCACCTCGCCTAATCCTTCCATGCCTGTCTGCTCGTCTTGCCACAATAGATTCTCGCATGCTTGTTCAACTCAACTTTGATCCTCCGGAGCACCTTCCGTGCCTGGAATTTCTTCACCTTATAGAGCGACACATCACACCTTCCCAACCAGACCTGGTGCATCGCCACTGACACCATAGTAGCCTCAGGGAAAGCGGGCCTTGTTTCCTCCTCACCAAACACAAAATCCGCCAGCATATCAACCCGCCTTGTTGGCTGCATCATGCTGAGCGCCGATTTGACAGCTCTAGCCACCGGTGCCACACTCATGCATTCAAGCAAACAATGCTTCAGCGTCTATTCCAAACCACAATTCGGACAAGTCACGCCACCTTTCACAAAAGAAACCCTTTTCCACTTGCAGATTGAGAGTTTGCAGACGGAGCAGTACGTCCCTTGCCTTGGCCGGAACCAGCAGTGAATCCCAGACTTTCCTACTCCGCTCCCGATTGATTTTTCTGCCCGCCCGGGCCTCCCAGTTCGTCCTTTTCACCTCTACAGCCTCCACCCCCTTGCTCGGCTACCTGATTTTTCTCAACGGGGCCACTTCCTCCTCCTTGAATAGTGATGAGTTGAGTAGCCACGTTCTGGATCCCTAGCTTCACGTACCGCCCGAGCGCCAGACAGCTTCACCGGTACCACACTATCGCAACACAGCACCAGCTTTACATCCCACGCCGTGCGCTCCCTTTTCCGCTTAGCCCCCGAAGCTCCACCTTCCTGCTCATCTTACCACACATTTCCCAGAGGCATCTCTGTCTGCTCGAAAGCCTAGTACACACCACCGACGATTCGCCTGCTACCTCCTCTGTTGTCAGAGGCACCAACACCCACTGACCTGCGCTGGCGCCGTGATGAACGACTTAAGTGCCATCTCCGCCTCCTCTTTACCCTCCAGCTCCCTAGCGAGCGTCTCTTTCGACTTCAAGACCCTTGTACCGCCCCATTTCCTCATCACCATATCGCGCATCTTCCACCTTCTCAGCTCTTCCGTTCCTTTCTTCCCAGCAAAAGGGAAATTCCCGCGGTGAATAATATGCTTTTTGTAGCACAGAAACTCCTCTTCTGCTTCCCACCTTGACACCACCTCCAGCACTTCCACAACCTTGCCCATCTCCTGCTTTTGAACAAACCCCCTCTCAACACTGCCTTATGCACGTATAACGTTGCCGGGCCAAGAGATAATCCTGCCGCTCGTTCCGACAGCCCCCGCCTGATCGGACACTCCTGTTACGGCGTTTAACCCGCGCACCTCAGTGCCACACTATCAATGCGCCCCCAGGGGCCTATCACTCCCAGTCCCCCCTGCTCCCTCGGTGTGTACATCATATCTCCACTCCAGAGCCTGAAGTGTCGCTCCGTGTCTGCGTGGTTACCGGACACAAAATTTCCAATCAACTTCTCTACCCTCCTCCACAGCAGGTCGTCCGGCCGGTACACTTGTGCTTGAAAAGGGAAAATTGGCAGGACATAACTTTGATTATGGTCACACGTGCCCCAGTCGTGCTTGGTGCTCCATTTGCTTAGTGTTGGTGTAAGGGCCTAATAAACTCAAGCTATTAGGACTTAATCAAACTTAAAACCTCTCCTCGGGGTCACCTCCAAGGGTCCCTGGGTGCCTGGTACAAGACCAGCCCCTATCCTCGGGTCCGAGTTTGTAGAGAGAGGGATCAAGAAGGACTTAGTCAAAACAGCAAGAGTACCTTGAACGTCGCGCAGCGTGCCGTGCAGACCGTCGGTCGGATTAAGCTGAGAATTCGCTATATCGAAGCTCGCTCCAAGAGCTTTAAAATGAGCCAAGTTGCCTCGTGAAAAGTTCTGCCATTACTAAGTTCTGGCTCGGACAGCGTTTGCCTAGCGTTGGAGTGCTAGCATACTAGCGTTGACTCGGGTAGCATTCCGCCGTCGAATAGCGCAGAAACGAAATTCCAGCGAGGAAGGAATTCGCTTGAATCAATTTGACTATATTCAGGTACAAACAGAGAAGGATTAAATAGTTCTAGCTAGCAAGGACCTTGGGAATCAACCTGGGAACAACCAGGGATGATCCCAAATAATTCCAAGCAACAGAACCAACCTGGCTGGACAAAATAGCAGGTGGTAGGTTGGTAAACAACCTCTGGTTCTGTTTTTCCAACCTGGGAAAACAACAACCAGGTTCAGGTTCTAAAAACAGAACCTGTTTTTGTCTTTGCCCAACCAGCCAAATGCTGGTTCCGCTGGTTTCCCCTGGCCTTGTAGCATGCAGACAAACAACATCCAACCTTCACCTAAATTGTACCCCTATAGTGCCTTCCCTGCTACACTATAGTTAACCAAACAAAACAGTACAATTCCGAGTTGGATAGAACTGAATCTGCGCAATCAACTCAACCGAACTGCAAAGCTTCCATCTTGGGTTCCTTTGCGAGCTCGTCCTTCCTGCTTGCACTGTTCATAGCGCATACAATGTTGTGCCAAAGCGCACATTGCGCGAGTACCTGCAAATGCATCAAGCGAAAAATGCGAAAGCAAACAAACACACGAACACACCATTCACACGCAAATGCATTCGCACACGCATACTCGTACAAACAGACGGCAGGATGTCGTGCAATGTGCATTTGCACCCAACACTTAGCTCTCCCGCCGCTCTGTGAAAGGCCTTTTCCCATGTTGCCTCCGCATTCCCCCCCGGTGATAGCCACACTCCGAGGAGCTTTTCAATCTTATTCTCCCCTACCCACTTGTATCCCATTCCGTCAAGCGTCTGTTGCCCCACGTTCCTCCCCAACGGCCGGACCGCAGACGGAACCGCGTTCACTTTTAACCCTGACACCACCATGTACTCTTGCAGCAATACTCCCGCATCTTTCAGTTGCTGTTCCCCCTCCAACAGTAGGGTCGTGTCATCTGCATTTCCCACGTATGACAGCATGTTACAGCTTCCTTCTTCGATTCCCAAATTTCTTTCCTCTACCAATTGGCTCAGAAGCTTTACCACGCACAAGAAAAGGTACGGCGCAAGCGGGCATGGAAACACCCGCGGAGGCCTCGTCGAAAGCCTCCTTGAAATGAAAGGTAGCCGCCTCTAGAATTTCCCGTGCTTCCGTGTGGCTGACCCCGTTCCGCACCCACTCCTTGATCCCCGTTTTTGCTTTCTTGCTCTTGACCAGCGCCATCAAGAAACTCGTTGTTGCTTCCCCTTCCAGCTGCACATTTATTCCAATTCGCATTTGCAGCAGGTTCCTCCTACCATCCCAATACCTTTGCAGCATCGCTTCACGTCTGGTCAACAGGCCTGCACCTTGTACTCATATGGGTAAGCCATTGCCCTGTGTTTTAGCCTTTCCACTTGGTCTTCCAAAGTTCTCCTGGTGTGCTTCACACTTCGTCGCTCCTCTTTGTCGTACTTCCGTAGTTGAGCTGTCAAGCTCCATGATAGCTTCTCAAAATCCCCAATCCCTTCTTCGCAGTGTCTGTGAACCACCTTCGCAACCACCTTCGCTACACCTGGTCGCTTCACCAACTGTGCCGGGAAACGCCATAACCCTTGACCTGATTCCCGCGGGCCTCTCCAACCAATTTGTGATATGTGATGTCCTTCGGTATCCGCTTGTGCGCCACCCTCGCCACCAGATGTAGCATGAATAATACCAGAACCCTATCTATCCGCGAGCTGACTTTCGCCGACTTGTAGTAGAAGGAGAATGGTCTCTCATCCGGATTGAGCTCCCGAAACCCATCCTTCACATAGAAATCCGCCAACATCTGCATCATGCGGCAGTTATCTCCTGTCACCCCCTGCCTGTTTGACTTGTCCAGTATGGGGTCTTCTAATATATTGAAATCCCCTGCCACCACAAGATCCCCCCTTGGTAGGCTCTCCGCGACATCTTTGAAGGCAAACCCCAGGAAACTTCCCCTCGGTGGCGGCTACGCTGGAAAGTACACCGCCAGCAACCGCAACACCCTCGTTTCCCACCATAGCCGCGCATGAAGCAGCCTCCCTGTAGGGTGCCGTTGAACATCCTCTATCTGCACTCCGTCCTTGAAACTCAGGATGGCCAAGCCACCTGCTCCGGTAGGTGCTGCCACCGCAGCCATGCTGATAGGCCGGAGTTCTATCCAGAAGTTATGGTCATCCTCTACTCTTGTATCCTGTCATGGCCCCCACGCATCCACAGGCCGGTGATACAACAGCACCCGGTGACACACTACAACCATCAGTACAGCATTTGTTGCAACTCCACCTACTGCTAATCTCCCTTTGTGCCTTCTCTTCTGCGCAGCATGTGAACTCTCCCTCCTTTGCACGACCGATGCACTCCATCACACACCGAACTCTTTCTTCGCCGCAGCCAAGTTGACGCCTGCCTTGGAGAGCGCGATGCCAAGCCTGACACCAGACCATCGCTGTGCCGCTGGGATACAACATGCTTCGCTGCGTGGCTGAAAGATACATCGTTTGCCTTCTCGCAGCTCTCTTGGACGCAGATCCACTCCTCGCGTTTCCCTCTAGTTGAGACCAACACCACGGCTGGGTCCTTCAAATTGAGCCTGGTCAGATCTGTGATCCTGACTGAGGCGGCTGCGCGGAGTCGACACACCCACAAAGTTAGCACCACATCACCGTGGAAACTTCGAGCAAAAAATAAACAGATAAGTCAGAAGCACCCCCCCTCCATTACCATTAATCCCATGGACCCATCCCAGTGACAGGCTCCAGTTTCTGACGTTGCTCTGCCTGTCTGTCACATACTCATCGTAGTACCTCATCATATGATACCCCGAGCAGTAGGCACAGCTCAGGGAGGGGTAATGCACCAGCAGTTGCTTAGCATGGGAGGTCGAATCCTCAATTAAATGGCGCCAGCTGTACAAATCCCCCTCATGCTATTTTACCAGGCCCTAAACCTTATCTGTGTCCATCCCTGTAACAAGATTCATCACCCGGTGGAAACAGCTCCCTTCCTTGAAAGCTGATCGTCCGCGCTTCTCCAGCTTCACCTTCACCAGCATATTGCAGAGCATCTCGTCCACCCCATTAAACAGAACTTCAACCAGCAACGGGTCAGCCGTGTGCGCTCTCACGTAAGCCGGGTCCAACGGGTGCTGCCAATCCAAATTGATGCGCACAGGTATGCACGATCCCATGTCTCCACACAAAATTGGCATCCCGAGCCCTATCGAAGGTAACTTGCAGCCTCCAGTATTGCTTCTTGTTCAAGAACAATGCCGTCAGCTCTTGAAATTTCGTCGTTGCCTGAATCTCCATGTTCAGGTCTTTCTTCCACAGATTGAAGAGTGCACGGAGCGTCGCTTGCACACGCGTAGTCTCCGACTTGAAGGCGATCGGGGTCGGAATCCGCTACGCAACTTCACTCTTTGCCTGTGCAGTATACCGCTCTTCTGGATTGTCACTGAGGTAACCATCATCCTCCTCCTCGTCAGCAGACTTCGTAGATTTGTTGACCACTACGTCCTTTCCTTCTGGCAGGGTACCGCCGGTAGCTCCACCGGTAGCAGTGACCTTAACACCGTCTTCCGCTAACTGCGACTTGTCGCCGGTGCCAGCAGTAAGCAAGTCGCAAACCGCCTCCTGCACGCCTTGCGTCATCCCAGTTGGCTGAAGTGCATCCTTATCCGCCTCCGTGAACAGGTCAGCCGTACGCTTTACGGCCGAAGTAGCGGAAGCGTCAACGACCACCGGCACCTTCTTGGGCTTGTCCAGGGTAACACCAGCAGAGCCATCAGTATTGCGCCCCCCCCCCCGTTCCTGGCAGTCATCCTGGACATAGTGCAATGATGAAACGGCGTAAATTGAAAGCCTCCTTGAGGTGAAAGCCATTGTCTGAGCACATCATTAGCACTACCATTGTCGTTTTTTATAGCCTTAAACTTGAACCTCCGTGAACACTATAACCTTGAGAATAACATGCCCCCGTAATCTTGTATTGCATAGCTGACCAAAAAAGAGGGGAAACGAAATCCTCGCCGAAGCCCTTGTTGTCGACTTAATGAGCAGGTGTCATTCCTGGACGCGTTGAGCAGCCATGGAGATTGACGAAAGACTTCGGAGTTAGCAGTTGATATGAAATCGGAACCCCATTGAGCATAAGGTACAATGTCCAT